CTAGGAAAGGAGGAGGAGTAGGGGTGGAAGGAGGGATTCTTCAAAACCAAGATGGCTGTGATCTGCAGCTGAGGGTGTTTATAATGGCTTAGGAATCAAGTCAATTATAGACTGAGTAATGCTGGAACAGCAGAACACCTGAAGAGTTGTTTTGGTCAGTCTCAGTATTAGTGTTATTAAATTATTAATGACCTCCAGAACTGTCCAGAGCATCTGTGCTCCACGTCTCACCCTGCATTTATTATGTGTCGGCATCGTCTTCTGAGGCGCAAGTCATGTATTAAATAAGATAAAGAGTGACACAGCGTCTGCTGCTGATGCAAATTCAGTCTTTACTGCTGATATTTGGCCGCTGTTAATCAGGAAGTGCTGATTTAGTTCTCTTTGACTCAGTGGATGGAGATGAGGCTTTATTTGATGTCTGTTTAAAACACTCTGAATGTTGTATATGTTGTTACAGACACACAGTGTCCTCCTGCAGCTGTTCTGCAGCATAAGAAAAACCCCAAACACTTTAGTTTTAACTGTCCACAATGGGGGAAGATGTTGTTTTTGCTCTCGGATAGTCAAAACATGTTCACACAATATGTGTTATTATGCATTAAAACTGTCAGGAAAAAGTGTTTAATGTAAATTCAGACCACGAGTCCACATTTATTCTCTCTAAAAGTACATCAGAGCAAAAGATGAGGCTGACGTTTTATTCTAATTAGGCTCCAATAAGCCCGAATAGCAAAGAGAAATAAAACATGCATCCAAATCAGCCTTAAGAGGTGAATGGCACACTCCAGTACTGCGCATACAGGTAATTCTCTGCATGTCTGGATTATGCTGGATTAGATTTCATGTGGACTTCATGAATGTTTGGTGTGGAAAGCTCTAGATCAGGTGTGATGTGGATCAGTGTGGGTCTCTCACATGTCTCCGATGTATACGCCCGGCTGCACCTCGTTCAGCTCCTGGTTGGTGCCGCGCCGCACACACAGCAGCTTCTCCAGCTCCCGTACTGAAGGGGTTTTATTCCTGCGGAACGCCATCATCCTCTGAGGAGCACACTCACTGTAGCGTCAACTGACCCTCATAATGCACAGCTCTCAGTCAGAACTACAGAAGCTCAGAGATATCCTTCAAGACACTAGTGTTCAGCTTACAGTGGCATGTAAAGGCTTCACTAGGGTAATTAGGGTAAAGTTAGGGTAATTAGGCAAGTCATTGTATAACAGTGGTTTGTTCTGGAGACAATCCAACACTAATATTGCTGAAGGGGTGAATAATATTGAGCTTAAAGAGGCTTTAATATAATTAAGAACTGCTTTTATTCTAGCCCAAATAAAACAAATAGGTGGAACACCTATTTTATGATATAAAGTCTATTTTTAAATATATTTATATACATATATTTCTCACTGTTTAATTTGTGTACAGTATTTACAGCAAATACGAGTAACCCAAAATGTATGAAATCACTCCTTACATTACTTTAAAAATAATATACCTTCAGTAATGATCTACTCTGCACTGCTCACACCAACACAGCTCACTGTAGTGTAATAATCAATAATAAACACCCGCAGATCAATAATAAAACACTTACATTTGGACTGTTGATGAATCTTCTGCGGTTGATATGGAGCTCGGATGCTTCACTCAGCAGTTCGGTGTAGTTTCCTGACTTCTGTTATATTTGACGCTCACTGCTGTTTGTTTTGGTCAACGGAAATATGAACTAAACGTAAACAGCAGCAGCATTAGTGTTTTGCGTCTCCTAGCAACAGCCAGATGTTTTGTTTATTCATGAATTCGCGCATTTCTGTTTGGAGTCCGGTGAATCAGTGATTCAATGACTCGTTCATGAAGAGAGTCGTTTGCTTTATTCCTGCACAGAGAGTTGAATCATGAATGAATGACTCAATCATGACTTTGATCGCCCCCTACTGGCAGTGTAGTTTCTCATAGCATGCAAAAAAGAAATTAAAATAAAATATAAATATCTCCATATTGTTAATTTAATAATATATTATTTAATAAAAATGTTTATTATTATTTTTATTTTAATTATTTCCCAGTACTGGGTTGCAGCTGAAAGGACATCCGCTGTGTAAAATGCTGGAATTGTTTTGTGGTTCATTCCGCTGTGGCGACCCCTGATGAATAAATGGACTGAGCTGAAGGAAAATGAATGAATAAGTGAATTGTTATTCTTAATATTACTGGAGCACGGATTATATAATAATATAATAATAAACTTACATGCATTCATTCATTTTCTTTTTGGTTTAGACCCTTTATTAATCACAGTAGAATGAACTGCCAACTTATCCAGCATATGTTTTATCCAGCAGATGCCCTTCTAGCTGCAACCCAGTACTGGGAAACATTAATATTATAATTATTAATTAATTACCTTATTAATACTGTAAAAAATAATGATTATTATTATTCATACCTAGGCGGTTCATTCCGCTGTGGTGACTCCTGATGAATCTGGGACTAAGCCGAAGGAAAAACAAATTAATTACTGATTTATAATCAAATAATGGTAGCATGGGTAAATAGTGGGCAGCATGTTCGCCTCACAGCAAGAAGGTCGCTGGTTTGAGTCTCGGCTGGGTCAGTGTGTGTTTCTGTGTAAAGTTTGCATGTTCTCCCCGTGTTGGTGTGGGTTTCCTCCGGGTGCTCCGGTTTCCCCCACAGTCCAAACACATGCGCTATAGGAGAACTGATCAACTACACTGGCCGTAGTGTGTGAGTGTGTGTGTGTAAATGAGGGTGTATGGGTGTTTCCCAGTGATGGGTTGCAGTTGGAAGGGCATCCGCTGCGTAAAACATATGCTGGATAAGTTGGCGGTTCATTCCACTGTGGTGCACCCTTATTAATAAAGGGACTGAGCCTAAAAGTAAATGAATGAATGAATAATAATCAATAATGATTGAGTATGTTATTATTAATATGATGGTTTAATATTAGTAGTGTGCATGTTTGCCTGCAGAGGTGTAAACCCAGTTGGCTAAAGTTGACTTCATCATCATCATCTGCTCATCCATCAGTGTGAAATAAATATTAACTAATTAAGAACATTTTAACAGATGGTTAAAGACGTGATCCTCTGTACATGAGCTGATGTGAATCCATCACTTGATGAACATGTTGTGGATTATTGATTTCCATAATTCATCGAGCATGCGTCTGCAGAAATGCATCATGCACATCAGACATTCCTCCATATCCTCATTCAGCCGATGCTCGTGTGCGGACACTGAAGAAAAGGCAGATTTCTGTCAGACTCACAGTCGCATCTTCTGACTGCAGCCGCTGCTGGACTGATCTGATGCAGGATGAGCTGTGATTCAGACTTAGTAATGAAGCGTGAAGACGAGCTGATGAGCAGAACTGAGTCTGAAGCTTAATATAGAAGAGCTCATTCCTGATATAAATACACCAGCAGCGCAGACAGAGTGTGTGTGTGACAGCTGTTTACTTCATATCTGTTTTCAACAATACTCATAAATAATGTTTACATGTTTTCAAGATTCAAGCACAGAAAGAGATGAAGTATACAGTAAAATATGAAGAGTTCTGCAACATGAAAACAAGCTTTATTATTTACAGAGCTGCTCTTGGTTTTACTCAGAACAGAAGTTGATTGAAAATTTCACAAATTAAACACAAAGAACAACAAGACCAAATGATGTGACTTCTTGAAGGAAAAAACAAGAATTAAGAAAACGTATACATTTATAAATATAGTCATTTATCAATATTAAAAGATCTCAATTATCAATGACAACTTCAGATTGATGTTTTAATATGAGTTATTCAGTGCAGTAAAGATGAACAGTACAGACATAAGGCCTTTATTACTGTTCTGTCTGTTCATCACAGTGAAGAATAAAACTGATCAGTTTCCAGAACAACACAAAGCTGCGTCGCCATTTAATCTTTTATATATTAGGATTATTTAAATTACACCCATATTTCACAATATATTACATTTCATATTAATATATACAGTTGAAGTCAGAATTATAAGCCCCCCTGAATTATTCACCCCCCCCCCCCTGTTTATTTTTCCCCAATATCTGTGTAATGGAGAGCAGATTTCTCCAGCACATTTCTAATCATAACAGTGTTAATAACTCATCTCTAATAACTGATTTATTTTATCTTTGTCATGATGAGAGTAAATAATATTAGACTAGATATTCTTCAAGACACTAGTGTTCAGCTTACAGTGACATGTAAAGGCTACACTAGGGTAATTAGGGTAACTAGGCAGGTTAGGGTAATTAGGCAAGTTATTGTATATTGATGGTTTATGTAGACTATCGACACAAATATAGCTTAAAGGGGTGAATAATATTGACCATAAAATGGTGTTTAAAAAATTAAAACTGCTTTTATTCTAGCCCAAATAAAACAAATCAGACTTTCTCCAGAAGAACAAATATTATCAGACACACTGTGAACATTTCCTCAATCTGTTCAACATCATCTGGGAAATATTCAAAAAAGAAAAGAAAATTCAAAGGGGGTGAATAATTCTGACTTCAGCTGTATATATATATATTTGTCAACATTCACAGTTTTGGGCTGTGTTAAATGCAGTCCTGTAAAGACCTTCTTCAGAAGCAGATGATGGTCCTGAGGGAGACGGTTTGGTCCTGATATTACTCTGCTGTTGTGTTCTCATCATGCGCTGCTCTCTGTCTGTCTGTCTGTGTGTGTGTGTGTGTGTGTGTGTGTGTTTAAATGAAGAAAGTTCTCTGGTAAAATATGCTTGCTCATATAGCTCCACCCACAGTCACATTTCATTGGTCCGCATAATTGCATTTGTTTCCTCATTGGCTGTGGTCTGCTGGGCGTGGTGGTGTGGACCCTCAGTGTGTGTGTGTTCAGAGCAGCACACACAGCCTGTGTTTCCTCTTCCTCTGCAGGTCCAGGTCCAGCAGCAGAGCCAGGAAGTTCCTGTTGGGATAGATGGCCCTCTTCCTGATGATGCGGCGTATGGCGGTGTGCAGCGGCATGTCGTGGTACAGCATCAGATACGCCAGAACCAGCGTCGACGAGCGGCTCATTCCCATGATGCAGTGCACCAGAACCTTCCCTGAGGAGGAACGGAACACAGACGCCTTACACACACTCCTCACTGAGCAAACAACAACACCCACAATGCATTGTGCTGAAAATATCAGAACACGTCTCCTGAAGAGATGTTGTGTTACCATAGCAACTGTAGAATCACCACAGTGAATCGATTGTTACAGTTGTTGTTACCATAGCAAGAGCAGAATCATTACAGCAAATTGATTGTTACAGTTGTTGTGTTTCTATAGTAACTTTAGAATCACCACAACAAATTGATTACTACAGTTGTTGTGTTACCATAGCAACAGTAAAATCACCACAACAAATCAATTGTTACAGTTGTTGTTACTATAGCAACTGTAGAATCGCCACAGGAAATCGAATGTTACATTAGTGCGTTTCTATAGTAACTGTAGAATCACGGCAACAAATTGATTACAACAGTTGTTGCGTTACCATAGCAACTATAGTCACCACAACAAATCAATTGTTACAGTTGTTGTTACCATAGCGACTGTAGAATCACCACAACATATTAATTGAAGTTCTTTAAATAACTGTTGTGTTTGTGAGTGTGTATGCACAGTGTTGTGTTGTGTTTGTTAGTGTGTATGCGCAGTGTTGTGTTGTGTTTGTGAGTGTGTATGCGCAGTGTTGTGTTGTGTTGTGTTTGTGAGTGTGTATGCGCAGTGTTGTGTTGTGTTTGTTAGTGTGTATGCGCAGTGTTGTGTTGTGTTTGTGAGTGTGTATGCGCAGTGTTGTGTTGTGTTTGTGAGTGTGTATGCGCAGTGTTGTGTTGTGTTGTGTTTGTGAGTGTGTATGCGCAGTGTTGTGTTATGTTGTGTTTGTGAGTGTGTATGCGTAGTGTTGTGTTGTGTTTGTGAGTGTGTATGCGCAGTGTTGTGTTGTGTTGTGTTGTGTTTGTGAGTGTGTATGCGTAGTGTTGTGTCGTGTTTGTGAGTGTGTATGCGCAGTGTTGTGTCGTGTTTGTGAGTGTGTATGCGCAGTGTTGTGTTGTGTTGTGTTGTGTTTGTGAGTGTGTATGCGTAGTGTTGTGTCGTGTTTGTGAGTGTGTATGCGCAGTGTTGTGTCGTGTTTGTGAGTGTGTATGCGCAGTGTTGTGTTGTGTTGTGTTGTGTTTGTGAGTGTGTATGCGTAGTGTTGTGTCGTGTTTGTGAGTGTGTATGCGCAGTGTTGTGTTGTGTTGTGTTGTGTTTGTAAGTGTGTATGCGCAGTGTTGTGTTGTGTTTGTGAGTGTGTATGCGCAGTGTTGTGTTGTGTTTGTGAGTGTGTATGCGCAGTGTTGTGTTGTGTTTGTGAGTGTGTATGCGCAGTGTTGTGTTGTGTTTGTGAGTGTGTATGCGCAGTGTTGTGTTGTGTTGTGTTTGTAAGTGTGTATGCGCAGTGTTGTGTTGTGTTTGCAGTGTTGTGGTCTGACCGTCTGGACTGTGGAGCGCTCTGTGAATGAAATCTGCCGCTGGTTTGAAGTAGACGTCCAGGTCGAAGTGTGTGTTGTCGTCTGCAGGAATACCGCAGTACACGAAGCTGCTACCGTAGTACTGCTGGTCCCCGATGCTGCCGCGCTTAGAGTGAGCCGCGTTCAGGATGTGTGTGATGCCCAGCTGCTGCAGCGCACTCCTGTTCTGAGCTATTCCACTGGTGTAGGAGCACACACACACACACACACAAACACACACACACACACATACACACACGCAC